CAAGCGTTGTTTTTTTTTTTTTTTTTAATGTAGTTAATAATTTTTTATTTTATTTTTTGTAGTGGTATGTTTTTTGGTAGGGTGAATTATATATATATATATATATATTTTTAATTTTTTTATTTTTTTTATATTTGTCTAGTTTGGTGAATTATATTTTAATTTATGTTTTTCAATGCTATATTTTTATTTTTTCTAAACTCTTTCTTCAAATTTTTTTTAAAAAAATTTATCTCCCAAAACCAAACCAAACACACCATTAATTTTTCTTAGAAAAAGTTTGGAAAATGTCATAAAAGAGAAAAAATAAAATAAATAAACAATAAAACAAATCACTGAAAAATCTATATCCAAATAATACCTACAAAATCTAAAGGAAAGGTAGTTGAAATTTGCCAAAATAGCATATCACCATTGGAGCGCCATTACTATAATTTGACAAAATGCTATTATTTGTTGTCAAATTATAATAATGGCAATGCTATTAGCATTTGCCGTTGGAAATACTCTAATTGTTCGATTTTATTCAATTGTATTATTTTAAATCTTAATTCATGAATAGAATTGTAATCAATAATTTTTTAATTTTTTAAAACTAAAACCAAACTACAACCTAAAAAAACTTGACTATCATAAAATTTTGACTAATTTAACTCAATGTTACAATAATTATCTATTTCTATCATCTTATCTTAATATTTGATGTATTGATTTTATTGTCAACACTGTATTAAAAAATATACGGTTAATTCCCAATATATCTTATTGACTATACTTATTTACTCATAAGTCTTGAGTAATATATATATATTTTAACATATTTGCCCTTTGTTTTGACAATGAGAAAATTGTGAGACTTTTTATTTGTGTTTTATATTTGTGAAATTATTATTTAGTATTGATAATGGTATTGATAAATTTATCAAAAGAATAAATAATTGGGACATTTTTTACTTTTGTTTATGAATTTTGATTTATTTTTAATTTATTTATGTTAATTTATAGTGAAATATGCTGTGAGAGTGGGCGGGTTAATTTTGAGCTATTTTGAGAAGTGAGTTAAAAGCCACTTCCCAACTTTTAACCCACTTCCCTCTCTCACAAAAAAATCAAAAAAAATAAAAAATAATTTTTAACTATCTTTTCAAAACAACCCTTTGTAGTCTCCCATTGAGGAGTTTGTAGTTTCACATGTCCGCCAATATAACAATGGCCACGAGATGTGTTTGTAGTCTTCCACCCTAACCCCCACCCCCACCCCCACCCCATATCATATTGGGGGTGGGGCAAAGTGGGGGCGGGAGGCGAGTTAATTTTGTAACTTTACAAATAATTTTTTAAATAAAATTATAAGTAATAAAAGTTGTAATTTATAAAATAAAAAATAAATAAGTGTATTTTAGTGGTTTATATTATTATTTTAATAATTTAAGTAATAGCCATTTTATTCCGCCAAACTATAAATAGAACACTAGAGTTTTTATCCATTCTATTGACTGATTGTTGTGATTCTCTAATGAAAAAATTTATTATATCATTCAATAGTTATGAAAAGATTACCTCAATAACTGCAATAATTTTTCCTAATTTAAAATAATAAATACATATTCTTATTGTGAATCATTTTAGAATAAGGTCTGGCTTTGGTTCAGTCTACCATCGGATTGGACCGTGCTGTTGGGTTTGTGGGGGTTCACCACGGGTCCCGTTTTGAAAAGCTGAACCGTTCAATATGTAGAACTCGTCGAGTACTATATGTCTGTGAAAAATCACGTTGATCGGATATTGATAGCTATGTGATCAAAACAGTTTTTTATCAACCGTTAATTTATTCACCATCCATTTTTTTTTATACAAAATTGATTTGATCACATAGCTATCGATATCCAATCAATGTGATTTTTCACAGAAATATAGTACTCGATGAGTTCTACACATTTATCGATTCAAATTTTCAAAACGGGACTCGTGGTGGACCCCCACGGGCCCAATAGCACGGTCCAGTCCGATGGCGGACTGGACCAAAGCCAGACCCTTTAGAATACACATTTTCAAAAAGATGTATACCGTGCACAAGCTATGACATTCATAACTAAATTATTTTTGGTCATAACTTTTAAAATATATATATATGAGTTATAACTAAACACTACATAAGGTATAATTAAAAATTATTTTAATAATAATCACAATAATTAACATCACAATAAGTCATAACTAGGGATGTAAATTGGTCCAGCCCAGCCCGACTCGTCTAACCTTGGGCTCGGGCCAATCTAGGCCTGTTCGGGCTCTTGCAAGATATTATACCGGCCAAACCCGGTCTAGTTCTCAAAAATCCAGGGCCAGAGGGTAATTGGGCCTTAAGCAGGGCTTCGAGTTTGGGTTGGGCTTGACATTTTTTAAAATTTATTTAAAAAAAAAATCACCAAAATAGCTTGAAAAATAACATTGGGCATTGGGCGAGTCACGCCTCAAATTTGGTCAAGGGACTAAGCTAGAAAAAGCGTGGCCCAAGCTCTAGCCCTAGCACTGGCCCAAGCTCTAGCCCTAGCACTAGCCCAGGGGGGTCGGGTTAGTTTGGGCCTCAAGTAGGTGGGCTATTTTTAGAACCAACACCACAATGATAATCAAAGATTAAGGGTGCTCATGGATCGGATTGGGTTGGATAGCTTTTCACCTGTTATCCATCTGAGCTAGGAGAATTAGAAGAAAAAAAATCAATCGACATCCGCCTACTTAGTTAGCAGATGTGAACTGAGCAGGTTGTGCCGATTAGTCGATGGATGCGAATCAAGTTAGCAGTTTGAGCTTTACTATTTTAGGCATTTTTTACACTATTTTTAGTGAGTTTTTTAATATTTTGAACCCAAAATTTTTTATTTTCATTTTTTATATTCATTTTTTATAACAATAAAAATAAGACCCAACTTTCGTATTTCACAAAAGTGAATATAATTACTAATAAAATGTAATTTTTTTAAGGGAAAATTACCACACAACGGTACTTCTAAAAAATTATTGCATTTACATGGAAAAGATTATAACTTTAATAATTAATATTTGTAAAATTTATCCTTTATTTGTAATTATTTTTTAAAATTTGAACTGAATTGAAATTTTTTCTTTTTAACACACAAAGCATAAAAGTATAACATCACTTTTTTAGGGGTGATGACGGATCGTGTTGGGTTTGATGACCTTCCATTTGCTATCCATCCGAACTTAAACAAATTGAAAATAATACATCCGTATTTGTCTGCTTGAACTGTTAAAATCAACGATTTTGTAATGAATCGGTTTGAATCATTCTATTTTAATGGATAAAGTAGATGTTTGTCCACCTCTGTAAAGACCACAAACATCATAATTCAAATATAACTAAAATATGGGAAAGATTACGGTGCACACTTTTTAAAGGGTGTATACCGTATGCATCATATAATTAAAGAATAAAATAATATAATTTCATACTTTTCTATATCATAACTAAAAATAAAAATAAAAAGTCGCAACCAAACAACAGATAAGGTATAACTAAATATTTCACGAGTCATAACTAAAATAAGGTCATAATTAAAAAAAAATATTAGTTATAATGAAAGAAAAAAATTTGCATAATTTAAGGGTTTATATGGTAAGGGTGTATATACTAAAATTTCCACATATATATAATTCCTTCAAATGAGTGTATCATATACATCTCTAGTTATGTCATTTTTTTTTTTTAATTATAATCAATTTTCTTCTTTGGTTAAGATATTATTTTAGTTATGACTCATGAATTCTTTAATTATAACTCATATTGTGTTTGATTATAATATTTTACTTTTAATTATAATTCATAAAATATGAAATTATATCATTTTATTCTTTAATTATAAAATTTATATGATATACTTTTTTAAATAGCATAGTGTTACCCACTTATATATACACACAAAAAAATATTTTAAAAAATGAATAACAGATAATGAAATTGAATTGTGTGATGAAAATGATTAAGTCAGTTAGTTATCTAACCAAGAATTCGGATCCTCGGCCGCCATTCCTGTCGCCCTCCAAAACGACGTCGTTTTTTTTTTTTTTTTTTTTTTTTTTTTTTTCTTGGTTTTTTTTTCCTCTCTTTCTGGAGAAACCAAAGGAGAGGGGAGGGGAGGGGAAGAAGAGAGAGAGGAAGGGAGAAGAAGAAGGGTTCAGAGTGTTGGCGACGGCGAGGATTTGGTCGGCGGCTTCCAGTCTCGGCTCGGATTCTCTAGCTCGGGTCACGGCCGGCGAGGAGCTTCTCGGCGATGAGGAGCCACCTCTCTGCTGCTGCTGATGCCGCCGTGAGGGTCCATTTCTGTCACTCTCTCTCTCTGCTTTCTCTCTCTAAATTTGGCAAGAAAGAAGAAGAAGAAGAAAAGAAAAAAAAAAAAATTCCAAAACGACGTCGTTTTGGAGGACTACAGGGGTGTGCAGCAGGAAAGGAACACCGAGGATCCGGATTCATCCAACCAATCCCACCCAGTTACCCATCAACATCAACCTACAAATTTTAGAAAGGTCCGCTTGTCTCCCGTTGAAGATCAGGATTAGATCATATAGTTTGACTTGTGGGTTCATTTTTTGGTCATTTTTTAATAATTAGACCGTTCAATATGTAAAATTTATCGGGTATCATATTTATGTAAAAAATCATTTTGATCGGATATCGATAGCTATTTGATTAGATTATATTTTTGTCAATCGTTTATTTATTTACCGTGCATTTTATTATACAAAACTGATTTGATTAAATAGATATGAATATTTAATCAAAATAATTTTTCATATAAATATAATACTTGATAAGTTCTACGCATTAAACTGTTCAAGTTATAAAATTAAAATAATAATAAAAATAAAAATTTAAAAAAAAAAAAAAAAACACGGGGGCTTGCAAATGGACACACGGACTGAACTGAGCGATCCAGCCTTGATCTTTAATTGGATGGAGACCAGCTGAATCGTTTTTAAAAAAAACAGAGGGAAGATCATTGCGGTTGGGTTCCCTAAGCCCCCACCACTAGATTCAATCATCATCCTAACAAGAGAAAAAGAAACAGAGATAAGGAAAAGAGAAGAGAGAGAAAAGTAGAGAAGATAATGGAAAGAAAGAGAGAGAACCAATCTCACCTCTTGTTTTCTTTTATCCTTTTCCTTTATTAGTGTCTACCCAGATCCAATTCAAACCAAGTTAACACTCTCCACAAACCCAAATCAAAACCATCATCACAAACACATTTTGCGATTTCGAATTGGTTTTCTTTTTTTACGATTTCGTTTGAAATCCTGAGAAAATCTCAGAACCCTAATCAGGAAATGGCGAGCAGAGGCAGCAGATCAGAGAAAGTGAAGAGAATCTTCCAACAATTCGACTCCGACAAAGACGGTGGCCTCAATAGGGAAGAAATGTCTGCCCTCGTCGTCGCTGTAAACCCTAGGGTCAAGTTCAGCGACGAACAAATCAATGCCATTCTTGACGAAGTCTTCAAGACCTACAGTGAATTCATCAATGGCGACAAGGGTCTCACTTTCGACGGCCTTTTACGGACCTACGACGACGGCGCCGGCGACGTGGACCGTGATTTCGACGCACTCGGCCTCGACCTCGATCTCACGCCGGACTTTGCCGACGGTGGGGTCACGGCAGCCCTCGAAGAACCCTCGTCGTCTTCAATGGCGGAGCCGAAGAAGAAGCAGAGGGCTGTGGCGTCTCCGAATCAAGGAATTGTGTTCGACGATACGTGGAAAATCGTCGACGATTTGGAGATTTTGATAAAGAGGTTGAAGATGAAGCAATCTAAGGATGGGAAATCGAAAGGGGACAACAATTCTGATGTGTATTCGGATGCTGGGTGGTCGAGAGAATTGGGGATTGCTTCAGATATTTCAGAGAAAAGGGTTTTCTGGGAAGAGTCTGGACATGATTATGCTGTGTTTGTGAAAGAATTGGGTACTTTGAGATCTAGGGCTGATGGAGCAAGATCAAGAGAAGAGGCTTTTGATGGGCACATGGCAATTGCTAAGGTTTTATATGAGAATCAGTTGTATAAAGAGGCTTTGGTGAGTTTCAAGAGAGCTTGTGAGCTTCAACCCACTGATGTGAGGCCACATTTTAGGGCTGGGAATTGTTTGTATGTTCTTGGGAATCACAGTGAGGCAAAAGAAGAGTTTCTTTTGGCGTTAGAGGCCGCGGAGAGTGGTGGAAACCAGTGGTCTTATTTGTTTCCCCAAATTCATGTCAATTTGGGAATTGCACTTGAAGGTGAAGGTATGGTTATTAGTGCTTGTGAGCATTATAGAGAGGCTGCAATTCTTTGTCCAACTCATTTTAGAGCTTTGAAACTATTGGGTAGTGCTCTTTTTGGAGTAGGTGAATATAAGGCAGCTGTGAAAGCCTTAGAAGAGGCTATTTTCTTGAAAAATGATTATGCTGATGCCCATTGCGACTTAGCTTCGGCTTTACATGCCATGGGTGATGATGATAATGCAGTTAAGGAGTTTCAGAAAGCTATTGATTTGAAGCCTGGTCACGTGGATGCTTTGTACAATTTGGGTGGGCTTTATATGGATATGGGTAGGTATCAGAGAGCTTCAGAGATGTATACTAGGGTTTTGGGGGTGTGGCCGAATCATTGGCGTGCGCAGCTCAACAAGGCTGTGTCACTCTTGGGGGCTGGGGAAAGTGAAGAAGCTAAGAAAGCTTTGAAGGAAGCATTGAAAATGACAAACAGGGTTGAGTTGCACGATGCTATAGCGCATTTGAAGCAGATACAGAAGAAGAGGTTGAGAAGGAATGGAGGTGCCAATGGTGATGAGGCATTTATCATTGTAGAACCCTCAAAATTTAAGACGAATGGCGAGAGGACAACACCAAGGCAGGAGTTAGCCAATGCTCTTGATGTTAGAGCTTTTCAGAGGATCACAAGGTTGATTCGCTGTGACGTTGAAATTTTAAGGAAGGAGATGACTGAAAATGATGCACCGGTGTCTTATTCGGTTAGTGGTATCCCTGAGAAGTCCATACGCAAGGCTTCATTGGAGGGAATCCTTTACCGGTTGCTTAATTTCTTGAAACCAGAAACTTTTGTTGGAGCTGTTAAAGCTATAAACCAGAAAGTCCTCTCTGTTCTTGATGAATCAGAGTCGGGCAAAGTGGATTTGGGCATGTTTTTTGCTGTTCTTGCACCAATTTGCAGTGGTTTTCCTCAAATGCGAAAAAGGGCAGCATTTGATGCACTCTTGTGGCGGCCTGTGAATGAAGAAGGTTCCACTCTGATCAAAAAAACCGATGCAACGCAGTACATCAAATTGTTACGAGCCATCTACATCCCAACTCATGGCATGAGTGAAATTGTGGAAATCCATGGTGAAACAGATAATGCCTCAATGGTGTCTTTTACGGAATTCCTTGAGATGTTTGACAATCCAGACCGGGGTTTTGGTATCATGTCTAGATTATTGAAGCTTGAAGCTGGGGATAGAAATCGCCATGGTAGTCATGTTTGTACAGTTTGTCGCTACCCTGTGATTGGGTCCCGCTTCAAGGAGATGAAATGTTATTTCAGTCTCTGTAGTCAATGCTACAGCGAAGGAAAGGTGCCTCCTACCTTCAATCAGGAAGAGTATACATTCAAAGAGTATGACAATGAGGCAGAAGCAATGAAAGATAAGTGTAGGTGGTTCACTTTGCACAGTAAGAGTTCATCCATAGCAACCCCAAGCTAGTTGTGTTTGAATGTGTTCTTGTGATGTTTTCCACATATAAATTTAGTTGTTCAGTGTGAATTAAATATATATAGAGCCATTAATGTGTTTAGTGGGCTTTTGTGCCCTTGCATGATAAACCCCTTTTAAGTGGTGATGCTAAATTCATAGTTCCCTAACAACTTCTGTAGAAATCTTTTGTGGGTTCTCATTGTTCTTTCTGTTGTTTTTCAACAGTAAATAGATTTATGGTATGTTTTTGTTCTCAGATCTTTCTGCAGAGTTTATATAAATTGTGGGTTCTCAAATTTCTGTTTCAGGTTGATGAGGCAGAGTTTGTTGGATTACTAGGTCATTTGATTAGTCTAGTTCAAAAAAAAGAAAGAAAAGGTCATTCGATTGGTAGAGAACATGTCTACTCTATATATGCACCAGTATATTGGTTGCTTTGTTTGATGATTTGAATGATTTCATTTATCTTTGCATTTTTAAGCCTAACTCATCCAAAGAAAATCCCAGGCTATGTTATGGCTTGTTTTAGAGGATGATGTTGTATTGTTTTTCGGTTTGCGTTCAATTCCCTCACAACCCACATCCCTGGACCCCTATCTGAATGACAGTTGTTTGGTTAAAATTTTTAAGATTCACCTTTTAGAAAATTGAAATTTTTTACTTTTTTTATTTTATTTTTACTGACTTTTTTAATATTCTAAGTAATTTTTTTTAATTTTTAAATATACTTAAAAATTATAATATTTGTAAAAAAAATATTTAGAAAATTCACTAAATATCAAAAATATTTTTGTAAAAAAATATGAGAATTCAATATATTTTTGATATTTTTATGTATTTATTGATTTTTTAAAATATATATATATATTTTAGATATATCTAAGTAAGGTGTATTTAAAAATATAAAATATTTATTTAAAATTTTAAAAATATTTACTAAAAATAAAAAAAATATGAAAAATAAAAAATTTAATTTTCAAAAAATTAAAACGAAACACACTAACTTTTTACTCTTGCCAAGGCCTTTCTAAGATGGATTAAGGGTCATTGTTGTGCTAAAGGCACATCAGTGACTGTTGTGTTTCAATTTGAAGTATATTATGAGTTTGTTTTTATGATTCAAATTATTTATTTTGTTGGGTAATTCATACTTACCAAAAATCATATTAACTGGATATTAATAACTGTATGATCGATAATCAAAAAAATAAACAATAAGTTTTTCTTTTGAGAAATAGCATAAAAAATATGCAATTCGATTATATAATTATTGATATCCGATTAATATGATTTTTAGTAAGCATTCAGATTATAAAAATAAGCCTATAATACATCTCAAATTGAGGCACAACAGTGTTGTGCCTTTAGTTTCAAAAGAAAAAATTATTGTTTATTTTTTGATTATCGATCATATAATTATTAATATCCGATTAATATGATTTTTGATAAGCATGAAATACTCAACAAACCTCAAAAAATGAATGATTCGAATCATAAAAATAAGCTCATAATATATCTCAAATTGAGATACAACAATCACTGTCGTGCCTTTAGCACAGCAGTAACCCTTAACTTCTATTTTGGATTTTCCCACACTGCTATAGCAGTTCACATAATTTATGAATTTTTGGTTCGAAACTTGATTTCAATACAAAACTGATTAGTTCAGAAGTTGATTTCTATATAAAATTGAACTAAAGATACTGCCAAATCAAATATATATATATATATATATTTTACAGAGACAAGTAGAATATATAAAAACTAAATAAATCTATGCACACCGTAACTTTGCCTATGACGAGATTTGAATTGCCAACCTCTCATTTGAGGATTGGGTTCATGCTCTACTAGATTAAAGCCCTTGGCAGTTAAAAGTTAAAACCAATTATATTATGCATCACATCTCTTTTTGAATCTTAAATTGAACAAAAATTTGTAAGAAAAAACAAATCAGAAAAAGTAATAAAAACACTATAATTATTATTATTATTTTTTTCACATTTCCGTTTTCTTTTCTTTTCCATTCACAAATCTCTTCCTAAATCCAATATCCAAACACATTGATCTTCCCCTCTAGGGTCTTGCTTAGAGCATTTCTTATATGTTTGTAGTGGATTTTCATTATAATGGTTGAATCGAATGTCCATGACACCCACAGTATCATCATCACATCACAATCGTTCTTGCCAATATTACCTTCACCAGCAGCTAGATCATAAGCTGGTTCTTAAACCTACAATTGCAGATGATGATGATCTTCTCGCCAAGATCACAGAGCAGCAAGAAGACAACCAAAAATCGAGCTACCATTGTAAAAGATTGAGGAATTGGTGATGTGGCACTACCAATTCCTCGTGAAAAAGTATAATCTAATGGCTGCTTCTATGGGGATTCAACTTTCAAGAAACTCCATAGCTAGAATAGCAAAAGAGCAAAGCCATACCATCCTTCCAAGAACTAGTAAAATATTTTTATCATCAAGGCAAAAAAAAAAATAATAATAATAAAATAAAATAAAATAATCAACCATCCAAAAGAGTGCAAAGTCCACTCAAAAATTTCAACTCTACTTGCAACAAATTCAGAAAATAAACTACGGGGAATAACAACTAAATAATAAAAAAAAAGGTAATTAGCCTGGTAATATTAGGGTAAAATAAATAGCTAACTATAGCAAAACTTAATATCATGTAACAGCTAAATTACGCACACTTAGCACGAGCCACATTTATATGATTCCATTTAAGCATCTGACATTATCTTGCAGTAGCCCTAGGAATCTCACCGATATACAGTACTCCAAAGATGAAAGCTAATCAACCAAGTACACCATGTCTCGTGCATTACGCTTCTCTGATGTCATGTCAATCCAGAAGTGCAAAAATACGGCCCTTCATTCTGGAAATTGGCAGCGGATTTTGCAGCCACCCTCTATATTGAATATAATTGAAAGAAGCATCCATATTGCCTCCACTCTTAAGAAAGTACTTGAAGCCATATTACCTATTTTGGGGAGAAGATAGGACAAAAAAAGGAAACAAAGTCACCATTAATTTAACTCTAATCAATGAGGCAATCCATCGAGAAAAGGTTTAGTTGTAATGGTTACTCCTGGAATTTATTTTTTATTAGACACTGTCCACGTATTCAGAGATTGAGGTAACACTTTTCCACTGTTCTAGAACCATTGGGCAAAGGTGTCGTAACATAAAAATCCTTGCCCGTTCAGAAGGGTTCAGTGAAGTAGCTGACACAAGGGTTAATAATATTTTGGTTGAGAGGGACTCTCCTTCAGTCCCTGATCTGGTAAACTCAGTTGGTCCCTTGAGAGTATGATCATCTGATGCATGATGTTGTTGGTTTATTGAAACATTTGGTGACTATGGCAAGGAGGATTACTAAAATTAATGAAAAGGCAGCTGACCTTTTGCAAGGCTGGAGCTTTTTAATTCACAAACTCAGAGTGCATACCTATACCATAGTTATTCCTTGTGAGTAATGTTTATTTTTCTGTTTAACCTTATCGTTGTCTCATCAAGGGATGCTCTTATCTTTTTTGAAAAGTTGCCTATATATATAATACTTCATTTCGCACAGGACTTGAAATAGGGCATTAATCTACTAGTTTTTCTTCATAATAAAGAAAAAGAAGAACAATTTCTAACATAAAATTCATACAAAAAGCTTGACAAGAATGATGTGGTGTGTGGCAATGCCATCTACATTACATGGACTTTTTGGAATTTTGGAGGTTCCTATGTCGACACGACACAAAATGGGTATGAGTGCACGATATAACCGGGATACGGAGAGAACCTGTTACCGACTTCGAAAGCGTGAAAAGTTCCTCTCTTCCCTTTTTAACATATAATAAATAAAATAAATCATATACTTTTTAAAAAGAAATCTAATTAAATCATATATAATAATAAAAAAATCCATAAAATAAACCATCTGATTTTTATTTTTTTAATTTTTTTAAACATAATTTGTTATTCCTTATTTGCTATATTTTTTTATTTATAATATATATATATATATGTCAATTAAAAATAAAAAAATAATTATATAGATATATTATAAGTATATTTAAATAATACCTATTTAACTCATCTTTATATAATAAATATAAACCAAACCAAGCCTTAAGTCCCATCAAATGGGGTCGGCTACATGAATCCTTCTTTTCCACGCGGCCTTATCAAAAGCCATTTCGTTAGTCAAATTATCTTTATATAATAAATATATTTAAAGAAATAATTATTCAACGTATCCCCGTACCCGCATCCTAATTTGGATCCATATCCACGAATCCTCAATTTTTAGTTTCAAAGTGCCCGACTTTTAGATATGCACCCGCACCCAATACCCACACCCAAGTCTGTGTAATGTAGAATGCCATTATTATAAATAAAATCATCACAATACCAGTATTATAAATAAATTCATCTTCAATGGTGTTTTGTTTTGAAATCAAAGATTCACAATGAGCCATATCATTATGCATGAATTTTTTATTTGTATAGAAACTCTAAAAAAAGAGGTATTTAACTATCAAGGGTCATGATCCAGTGGTCCTCGGTCTGACCTATAGGCTTCCCTCTGCTGGGCTCTTGATGCAGTGCTACTCCAACTATGGTTGGGCCAGTAGAATGATATGGGACTACTTGCGGAAGGGCATGTTCCCCACCTCTCCCTACCCTTTCTGTCTATTTGGTGGTTATTGATGTGCCCATATCATAACACCCTATCGTATTGCGAACAACAACCAACTAATTCAACTTCAATAATACATTGAACTACCAAGTATTAACAAATAATATAATAGTTTTTCTTTATTTTGATACATATAACCCATTATTTTATCAGAGAAATAAAAAATGTAACTTAATATTGATACATTGTCTTTCAAAAGTAGGATTGCAGCAAGCTCATTAGATTCCAAGTTGATGAAAACTGAAATCTAAATCTAGATTGAAATTCAAAAATTCTTAATATAAGACACAAAAACTTATAACAAGAAGACCACAAAAGATTAGACTGAAGGCATTTTCCACATGAACAAATTTTAAATAAGAAGTCAAGGGAACAAGGGCAGGCATTATTTTTTCATAACAGGGTAAAGATTTCAATTCATACTAAAAATATGAATATCTCCAATGGTGACCATACTTACATAAGATGAATGGAAGATGGACCAGTAAAGGCAGCAACTTTCTGAGCACGCTGAGCTTCGCACCTGTACAGTCCCTTCATTTCTTTTTTCACCCGACGAGCCTCACGCCTTTCTTCTTTTATAGCAGCCTGCATGCAAAGTATTTCAACATTGACATAAAGCATGATACAATTGGATTTCAACATTGACATAAAGCATGATACAATTGGATAAAGAAAATCATAAAAAAAAAACCAAGTACAAATTTCTCAAAGTATCAGACAATCAATGAACAAAGTTTTCAACCAAACAAGATTCTCTTTTCCACTCCATATTCAGTGCGACTAAATGTGACCAGCCAAAAAGATGTTCTTGTTTGTTATCAGAAATAGAAAAAGAGGGATAAGGAAGAGATCATAGTAGCATGATTTAGTCAATAAAAGTATTGCAAATTCAATAGTTGTCATATGTAAAATAAGTTGACATAAGCAGATGGCAGACACCTTCCGCTCTTTCTTCTCCTCCTTTGATTCATGACCAAGTTGCTTCCTCTTCAGCGGCTCATTTTTTGAGGTAGTCAAATCTTTCACCTTTTCTGTAGCAGATTTCATACTTTGAGGCAAATAGTCCACAGGAAGCTTCTCTTTTCCTTTAAGTGATATTACATGGCTAGGAGCACTTAAAGCTCCAGAGAGTGTTTCGGCCAACTTCTTCTTTCTCCGTACTCCTGGCGTTTCTATTTTCCCAGGGTGATTATCAAGATTTGAATATGTTGAAATGATAGTCTCACAATCCCACACTTCAGACTCATCACTACTTTCCTCTACAACAACCACATCTTCATCTTGATTGTCAATTTCAAACTTTTCAGCATATTCAATACACCGGCGAATAACATCGCCAGCACGGTCCTCTGACTCTGCAGGAACTTTATATTTGTCATCAAGTTCCAAATCTTCAGTCGCATGGTCCTTAAGTGCATGATTGAGCTTTTCTGCAAGGGATTCATGGTGTTCAGCTTCTTCAGCTATGAAATTATCGAATTCATCATCACTGTTTGCACCATATTCCTGAAGTTCAAGCTGTAATTACCAATTCAATGTCAGTGAGTGAGAAGTTCACTACAAAGAGACAAGGGCACAAGATAATAACAATAACAAATAATAATAGATGGCTGAGTTTCCTCTCTCTCTCTCTCTCTCTCTGATGCAAAGAATATGAATAAGATAAACTGATAAAGTGCTAATCTGAAATTTTGTATGGAACACATTAGTGAGCACAATATGAAAGACATCCACTCAATCTGATGGAGCATAGGCCACACTCATTGAGAATATCCATGTAATACAAATATTGTCAACATTAAGCATGCAATCATGACTAAAATGTGTGGGTAGACAAATTTGTGTAATCAAACTCAAGGGACCCTGAACAGAAAACAAAGTATGCAACAATCATGACCACACTTACAACGGCAGAAACCAGGTGACCAATGCACTGTTCAGCAGCAAAAATGAGAACAGTCATATACTACAATGAGCTATAAACACATTGAATAATATATTTTTCTCAGTTATGCTGATAATAACTCTGTGGATGTTGTCCCTATCAATACTAGAGCAAGTAACTTAATGTTTGTTTTACAAGAACTTCATCTGGGTTAATGTGAAAAAGAACTTCCGATATTTATGTTATTTTATAAAATATCAAGATATCAAGGTGAAACATACACCCTTAGATAAATCACATAAGAACAGAACAGTTGCATAAAAGTAATACTAGGAGTGCACAAATGAACCAATGTCACAGTGAACCGAACCAAACCCAGCCTTCACAGTTGAGTTTGGTCCGGTTCTTTGAGGCCTCAATCCAATTCTTGACTCTAAATTCTGAAGGACTGATCCATTCAATTCGATCCTGCTTTTGATGTAAGGTTTACCATTTACTTGACCCAATCTGAGAACTGAACCCAATATAATGCTTTAAAAAAAAATGTATATGTTCGCTCCAGCATGCAACCCTCCTAAAAAAGTGCTTTGTCTTAGTGAGCTGCATGTGAGTTCTATATAGAACATATCTTTGCGTTTGACTAGTGCATAGGGAAGGAATCAAAGTAAAAAATTTCACCAGTTATTTACACACTCATACTGGATTATTGTCCCACATTGCCTGGCAGCAAAGTACTAGTCCACAAGCTCTTCTACAAAAGTAGTTGTCCCACAAACAGTTAAGTTCTTAAATGAATAACCATAGGTTTAGAACCAAAGCGAACCGTTCTTTTTCAATTTGGTCTGGTTTGGTTCACTTTGAAAGTTCATTGTTCAATTCGAGGATGAGAACAACTTCCCAACCCAAAACTGAACAGACCCATGTGCATCCCTAGCTAATAGCCTAATACTAACAAAATAAGGACAACGAAAAATCATTATTTTTGCAAACACACTAACAGAGAAAAGTAGTATCCAGAACAGAATTGATATAATGCCAACTGACTAAAACAATTGAGTAAGCACTCCATAACTTGAAGAAAAACATGCAACATGATTAACTATAGTTAGAAAACTATTTTGTTGAGTGCTTTCATATTTAAACATTTAGGGAAACTTGACCACTGATTTTTAGAAGACTTGATCACCGATTGCTCCCCAAAAAAAAAAAACTCATTGTATATTTGGAAAGACAATGAACAGGCCCAATCTTAGTGGATTTGTTGCCCTCCATGCCATAGTGCTCATGAAAAAGTCACGCAATGTTCAAACAAGTATTACCAGCCCAGATTAGAGGCTTATATCAAACTCCCAGCTCCTTCCTCAATTTTCAATCTTCCTCTGCTTGAATTTGCTATATTTTTTTATTTTTCTATTTTTTTGTTTTGAATTTCCTATAGTTTGAATTTTGAAAAAATATTACACGGAAATGCTGACTCTGTACTTATCTTCATTCTTCCACACAAGGTTTTGTGACCAGAGATCAGTCATTTAGCAATTCAAGCCTAGAGTCAAGAAACTAGTCTCAAGTTTGGGCAACTTGCTTGGTAAGCAAATCAATTTTCTTTTATGGTTGTGCATGTGCTTCAGCTTAACACTCACTGCCCTGCTTCCTGTTTATACTACCTATTCTTCTGGTAGAACAAAATCAGACATGACAAGATATCCAAAAATACACCACGGAAACTCAGAAAGAGTTTTAGGGCACAAAAGGTTACTTTTCCAGACTTTAGTGCCGTTAACTTGGATTTCTATTTCAAATGCTTAAGAAAGGTCATTCCAAATTCTAAAGCAATACAAAATAAAGATTTTGGAGTTGAATATTTATTTATTTATTTATTGATAAGATTTTGGAGTTCAAAATTTACATTAGCCAACAATTTTTCCATCCAATGTTTTGACCATAATCATAAAGTCATAAAGTTTTGATTTTTTCTATTGCAATAAATAAATGACAAACTTTGATTCAGAAACAGGAAAACAAACACATATAGAAATAACCAAAGGCCTCACCATGTCAAACTGCTCATCTAAAAGGCGGCGAGTTCTTGGTTTCTCAGCAATGCTACCGGCATTGGGCAGGAGATTTCTGACTTCATCAGCATCAACAAAGTCAACCACATCAACTCCTTTTCTGTTCACCCCAGAGTTTTCAACCAAATTCAACTTTTTATCAAATTCTACATCATCTTCTTTTCTGTTCACCGCAGAGTTTTCAACCAAATTCAACTTTTTATCAAATTCTACATCCTCCGCTTCATCAAGAAGGTTAGCCTTGACAACAAAATCCTCTTCCAAGTCCTCATCATCAGAACCAAAACGAGACAAATCACTATCATCAAGCAATGCAACTACTTCAGGATCAACTGCTTTCTGAATCCTAACACCAACAGTCCTTGATGCTACATTATAAATTGACTTCTCGTTCGAATCATCCTTCACACCAGGAATTTCTACTCTCGAAGCATCATATGCCTAAAAAACAAAAACAGTAGTATTGTCACAAAGTATCCTCACAATCAAAAATCCAACAAAACCACCATTCATGCCTAGCAAAGAAAGGTTTCTATGTCAGAGTATATTAGTTATTGTGTTCAGATTCACAACAAATAAAAAATAAATAAATAAGAACAATTGAAAACATAAAGAACTCAAGACTTCACTTTTCAAAAACGAACCTTCACATCAAGTGGAAGCTGATCGAGCTTCGCTTTACTATTATGATAATAAGCCGAACCACCACCAGTATTCTTAATCTCCCTCAAATGAATCAAATAGTTATAACCGTCATCGGGAAACCCTAGCTCCAAAATCTCCCTCCTTATATGATCCGGCAACACCGCCGCCGCACTCTGCGGCGGCGCTCGAATCTGCTTTCGCAAATCTCCGCCGTCATCTTCATCATCACAATCATCCGGAGCGTCAGCGAACACTGAGTTGGGATCGTTGTCGGCAAATTGGCCATCTTCATCTCCTTCGAAGAAGGTATCGGGTGAGTAAGAATTGTTGTCAACTCTCACGAAAATTCGATCCCCCGAAGGTCCATCGGTGTAGTTTGGATCAGACGAATCTCGAGCGAGGAGTTGAAAAGTAGCCGCTTGTTTCTTGTTGATGAATTTCTTCTTGTTACCCATTTTCGACGATGGAGCTTCTGTAGAGAGAGAGAGAGAGTAATATCTAAAACCCTAAGTCGCAGTGCCCTGATCATAGACACGTGGCAGTCACGGGGTTGAAAAAGAGGAAAAAAAATGTTCCGTTGCCGGGACTTGAACCCGGGTCTCTCGGGTGAGAGCCGAGGATCCTAACCAACTAGACTACAACGGAATTTACTATAATTTGAATAAATAAACATTATTATAGAATTTTGTTAACTTTTATTTTTTGTGTTAAAATGATAACTTTTATTTTTTGTGTTAAAATGATTTCGAAAAAATTTATATTTGCACTCTTATACATAATGATTAATCTTTTTAAATTTCTTATTATATATCATAAAAGTGCACGTTAACAAAATTTATAGAGCAAATTATGCTAGTTTTTATATTTTGGTTTTTGTATCATTTTGATCCATGTAACTCTAATTTATTCAATTTTAACTGTGTATTTATAATTTTATTTTAATTTAGTCCAATCAATTACAATGGTTAACATTTTTTTAATAAAAACTATTTACATAAGTAGCATGTATCATACTCTAAATAAACGTGCCACTTATGTGTACGCTTTTTTATTAGTTTAAAAATAACATGGACAATAATGGTAACCAAACAATTAAAATAAAATTTAATATATACTTGAGGACTACAATTATCAATTTAAAATGTTATATCTTCTAATAGGATCAATAAGAGGAATGAAAATTTAAGATATTTTTATTTACCCACTTATGCCCAAAAACAATGATATGAATAATTCAATATGGCTATGTAAACTTGTGAAAAATATCCATGGCATTGAGAATGTCATGTTAGTCCAGATGTTCGCAGCCGCTCCTATGTTCGTAGCCGCTCCTATGTTCGTAGCCATTAAAGTGGCGTGGAAACAATTGTGTACCCAAAAAGTATAAATAAATATAATTACAGATAAATACAGATTAGTGAAAAAATGAGAAATTTACCAAGAAGTCTCATTTCAGAAAAGTGGCGTGGAAACAATTGTGTACCCAAAAAGTATAAATAGATATAATTACAGATAAATACAGATTAGTGAAAAAATGAGAAATTTACCATGAAGTCTCATTTCAGAAAAGTGTGTACCCAAAAAGTTTAATAAATTTTCTTATAAACAATTTAGTACCATTGAATTTGAAAAGTATATAGTGAAATTCTTTCATTATATTTTTCTAGAGATTTCAAAGGTAGATATACTTCATTTGTGCACTATTATCTCATTAATATTTTGTCAAAATGGGACATTTGTATACTATTATCCTATTAAGTTTTTGTCAGATGTGTCATTCTTAAAATGTGACAATGAAATATCATTTTAATGTGTGCACTATTATTTTATTACGTTTTCAAATGTAGGCATGCTTCATTTGTGAGATTTTAATGTGAGATAGGATTTATGAGATCATAAAATTATTTATGGAACTAAATAGTTCACAAGTCATGGATAGGATTTCTTAGTAAATGCCTCTAAACATATTTATCATCTTTTGGGGATTTATATCTCAAGAAATTCTATTTACACACTATATTTCTTCTCAGTACACCCTATTGGAACATTAAATTTTTATTACAATAATAACCTCAAGTAAATGACTATTAAGGACAACTGAATACACACCAATAGTTCAATTGTTTGTGTGCTAGATTTGGGTGAAGTGGAGTGATGTAATGTTTAGTTTATTTGAACATGAATGTTTTTGTTTCTTTGTTTTTTTGGAGTGAAGTGAAGAATATCTAAAACCACGCAATAGTCCCACTATAACAATTGGTATATTAAGCATAAAACAACTGTGTCCAAACTTTCATCCAAAATAGAGAGGATTTTCATTAATCATGACCAAAACAGTCATCCAAAAAAACCTTGGCGATCTACATCACCATGTCCAAACTGAGGCACAAAAAATTGTATCCAAACCTACAAAACCATTTACAAACTTGGGCACAAGAACCACATCATCATACATAACGAAAATAAAATAACCACATTGACATCCATCCTACATAACCAAGACAAAAGTATCATATTCTAAGTCAATCCATTAATACGTCCCAAAATATCATGCAAACACTAATGACAATTTCTTCCCCTTTGACCTTGTTCTAGCTTTTGGTAGTGAAGAAAGGGTGACAAACTTCTTCCCCTTTGACACATATGTAGCTGAGCCATCATATGAACCTTCACATGGGCCTAGGGCAACAATTGTGCTTGCCTTGATGAATCTTGGTAGAGGTCCTCTAATATTGACCCCTTGTAATGCTGTTGTTTGGGTTAGTCGACTACTAATAACCAATCCTAATGGCAGTCTTATGTTCATGGATAGTTGACTACTTGGCCACATTCTTGCTTCAATCCTTGATTGAGTGTTGGCCTGAGTAGTTGGGTAAGACCTTGTTTGAGTGCTGGGTTGACTCATTGCTTGAGTTCTAGGTTGTGTCATTGGCTGAGTGCTAGGTTGAGACCTTGTTTGAGTATCGGGTTGAATGTCGGGTTGAGTCCTTGCTCAGTGTTGGTTTTAGTTGTTGATTGGCTTGCTCTTGGTTGAGCACTCTTGTTATTTCTCACCTACAAATGATTAATAATCAGTAGGCATAAAGAAAATCTAAACTTGAATAAATTGATGTTTGTAATTCTAACCTTTGGGCCAATATTGGTTGGCCTTTGAAATTTCTTTTGTTGTGCCCAAATTTACCACATAAGCTACATGTTGTAGTTATGTTTTTCCTTTTCAACTTGTGGGAATTCTTGGGCACATCTACTTGCTTTATCCTCTTATTTTTGGGTCTGCCAGACTGCCTTTTTACATGTAGGAGTAATAGTCTAGGCAAACCTGTCATAGCCCACATTTTAGGACCATTGATTGCGTATATCATTAGTTCATAGCTAGCCATGTAAGTCTCAGTCTGGGCAACCTCGTCCAGAGTAGATAGTATAAGATAACGAAACTGCTCAAGAAACTAGGAATATTGAATGAGACCTCGAGAGTGGAGAGAAGCCTCACCTAGCAGATTAGCTAGTATAAGGTAACGAAACTGCTCAAGAAACTAGGAATATTGAATGAGACCTCGAGAGTGGAGAGAAGCCTCACCTAGCAGATGTACCAAAGCCTCATCATCATCAGTAAGTCCCAGATCCAGTGGAATAAGCAAGACGACGAAAGGAATGGCAGAGAGCATGGTGAAGTCCTCGAGGGTCATAGCCATCTCCCTGGACCTCAGAAAGAGGAAGGTGTCGGTGGTGTCCCATCACCTCTCCATCAAAGTGCCTAGACCAGAAAGCGGATAGGGTTTGGAAGGTGGGCGTACCACTCAATCACACCTAAAACAAAACCAAAGCCCCATATAGCCCCGACTACTCTCTTGTAAGAATAAAGAAGAGAAACATTTAAAGTTGTGGTTCAAAGCAAATGAAAGAAAATGAAACAAAAAGACCATAGAAGGGATAGTAAAGGAGAAAAGCGTACCCTGAAGGTTGTCTAGGAGACATGGAGGCCAGGTTTGCATAGTACTATAGCAAGAGGATTGACAATGTCTCGCTTGTAAAATCGCTACAGGTCTATCCGAGAGACATCCTCCGGTGGAGCATAAGCGTCGGGGTCAAAGTCGTCACTAACCATCGACAATCTAGGTCAAGTACAAGTTGTAAGTCAAAAAGTTGGAAAAGTAATGAAAATGGTGAAAATTAGCAAAAATGGGCAGAAAAATCGGGTCAGAAGTACATAAAATGGGCAGATAATTGGTAAATGGGCACAATAATACGGCAAAGTAGTGAACAGTGCAGGTTAACCAAAGAAAGTGTGAAAATCCGGTGAAAAGTATGAAAATCTTAGGAAATGTCTAGAAAACTCACAAAATACGATAAAAGTGCAAAAAAAAAAAAAGTACAAAGTCAAAAGGTGTGAAAATGTGGCAAAATACCTAAGAATAGTCGTAGGATGGTTGAAATCAACTTCTAATCAGATAAAAATGATGAGCACTATGAATAGAATCCAAAAAGTTGAATTGTAAACCAAACCGTAAAGCGGCAAAAGAGCAAGGAATAAGGAAAGAAGAGGAGGTTAGAGAGAGAGGCAGAAAGTGTTTTCGATTGTGTGGGAAGTGGAAATGAAGGACGATATTTAAACCATTCAAGTAAGCAAAAATTCGAATTTGCCTTCCGACTGTTTGCGTAGGTTTGTGGGCCCCGTTCCTTTTTCGAGTCTAAGGCATTGCTTCCTATACCAACTTGCTTTGACCATCAAAGAGTTGCCACTTAATTTTTAAAAGGGAATTAAAAAATCTTTAAGAATGAAAACTAAGTTAATGCTCAGTCCGTCATAACTAAAAAATTTCTAGGTTCGGGAGCTTAGGTACAAAAGGAGAAAGCCATTTTCATGGAAGCACCCCCTTTTGCTTAATCTGAAAATTGGCCTCTACTCACTCTCTATTTTATGATTTTAGTGGTTTATCATTCACAAACTTCATTATTAGACCTAAAACCCTTAACTAACCTAAAACTACGTTATTTGAAGAAAAATGAATATTATATATTTTAGATTGAATGAAGAAAGCCATATTTTCATAAAAAGTGATTTTTTATTAAAAAAAAGCAACTTTTGGATAATCCATGACCTTTAAACGTAAACTAAAATACACAATATTCATAAAAACATACAAAACACACAATATTGCATAGAAAAGCAATTAACTTGCATAATTGGAAAATAATGCAAGAAGCACACATGCCAAGAGGATAGAGAGGAATTTCCCGGATGTCCAATTACGCATCTTACATGTATACATAAAATAAATCTCCTACTCATGCAAATAACATCCAAAAACATGAACCTAGGCATGGTTTGAGGCTACTAATGATGCTTATGCAGAAAATACAACTAATGAGTAAAAAATACAAATATAAACTAACTACATGATATCTGAAACCAGGCCATGCATGCTCATTTTATGATCAAAATAAACCTAGAAACATGATGTTCTAGTGGGGTGAGAAGAGCATTCAAATAAAGAGGC